GAAAGAATGAAGAGACGGAGCCAACGCAAAAATAACGCCCAGTTGTGGATGTGACTGATGATGGAAGTAAAGTATGATGCTGTAAAGAGCAATATTGTATACAAATCTGGAATGTTAGGTCCATGAATCAAGGTAAATTAGAAGTGGTCAAATAGGAGACAGTAAGAGTGAACATCAACATTTTAGGAATCAATGAACTAAAATGGACTGGAATGGGTGGATTTAATTCAGATGACCATTCTATCTACTACTGTGGGCAAGAATCCCTTAGAAGAAATGGAGTAGCCCTCATAATCAACAGGAGAGAGAGCCCACAAGAGACAAATCAACAAAATACTTGCATGCAACCTTAAAAATGACAAAATGATCTCAGTTCTTTTCCAAGGCAAACCATTCAAAATCACAGTAATCCAAGCCTATGCCCCAACCAGTAATGCTGAAGAAGCTGAAGTTGAACGGTTCTATGAAGACCTACAAGACCTTCTAGAACTAACACCCAAAAGATATCCTCTTCATTATAGGAGACTGGAATGCAAAAGTAGGAAATCAAGAGATACCCAGAGTAACAGGCAAATTTGGCCTTGGAGCACAAAATGAAGCAGGATAAAGGCTAACAGAGTTTTGCCAAGCATTGATCATAATAAATACCCTCTTTCAACAAAACAAGAGAAGACTCCACATGGACATCACCAGATGGTCAATACTGAAATCAGACTGCTTATATTCTTTGCAACCAAAGATGGACAAGCTCTATACAGTCAGCAGAAAAAAGACTGGGAGCTGACTGTGGCTCAGATCATGAACTCCTTATTGCCAAATTCAGACTTAAATTGAAAAAAGGAGGGAAAACCACTAGACCATTCAGGTATGACCTAAAGTGGAAGTGACAAATAGATTCAAGGGATTAGATCTGATAGACAGAGTCCCTGAAGAACTATGGACAGAGGTTCATGACATTGTACAGGAGACAGTGATCAAGACCATCGCCAAGAAAAAGAAATGCAAAAAGGCAAAATGGTTATCTGAGGAGGCCTTAAAAATAGCTTAGAAAAGAAGAGAAGTGAAAGGCAAAGGAGACAAGGAAAGATGTACCCATTTGAATGCACAGTCCCAAAGAATAGCAAGGAGAGATAAGAAAGCCTTTCTCGGTGATCAATGCAAAGAAATAGAGGAAAACAATAGAATGCGAAAGACTAGAGATCTCTTCAAGAAAATTAGATACCAAAGGAACATTTCATGCAAAGATGGGCACAATAAAGGACAGAAATGGTATGGACCTAACAGAAGCAAAAGATATTAAGAAGAGGTGGCAAGAATACACAGAAGAACTATACAAAAAAGATCTTCACGACCCAGATAACCATGATGGTGTGCTCACTCACCTAAAGCCAAACATCCTGGAATGTGAAGTCAAGTAGGCCTTAGGAAGCATCACTAGAAACATAGCTAGTAGAGGTGCTGGAATGACATTGTACAGGAGGCACATATTCTTTGGTTGCAAAGAATATAAGCAATTTGATTTCGGTATTGACCATCTGGTGATGTCCATGTGGAGTCTTGTTTTGTTGAAAGAGGGTGTTTACTATGATCAATGCTTGGCAAAACTGTTAGCCTTTATCCTGCTTCATCTTGTGCTCCAGGGCCAAATTTACCTGTTATTCCAGATATCTCTTGACTTCCTACTTTTGCATTCCAGTCTCCTATAATGAAGAGGATATCTTTTGGGTGTTAGTTCTAGAAGGTCTTGTAGGACTTCATAGAACCGTTCAACTTCAGCTTCTTCAGCATTACTGGTTGGGGCATAGACTTGGATTGCAGTTTAACTCTTTCAAATCCTAAAAGATGATGCTGTGAAAGTGCTGGACTCAATATGCCAGCAAATTTGGGAAACAGTAATGGCCACAGGACTGGAAAAGGTCAGTTTTCAATCCAATCCCACACAAAGGCAATGCCAAGCAATGTTCAAACTACCACACAATTGCACTAATCTCACACGCTAGCAAAGTAATGCTTAAAATTCTTCAAGCCAAGCTTCAATAGTACATGAACCATGAATTTCCAGATGTTCAAGCTGCATGCAGAAAAGGCAGAGGAATCAAAGATCAAATTGCCAACATCCGTTGGATCATCAAAAAAGCAAGAGAATTCCAGAAAAACATCTACTTCTGCTTTATTGACTACACCAAAGCCTTTGACTGTGTAGATCACAACAAACTGTGGAAAATTCTTCAAGAGATGGGAACATCAGACCACCTGACCTACCTCCTGAGAAATCTGTATGCAGGTCAAGAAGCAACAGTTAGAACCAGACATGGAACAACGGACTGGTTCCAAATTAGGAAAGGAGTGCATCAAGGCTGTATATTGTCACCCTGCTTATTTAACTTATATGCAGAGTACATCATGTGAAATGCTGGGCTGGATGAAGCACAAACTGGAATCAAGATTGCCGGGAGAAATATCAATAACCTCAGGTATGCAGATGACACCACCCTTATGGCAGAGAGTGAAGAGGTACTAAAGAGCCTCTTGATGAAGGTGAAAGAGGAGAATGAAAAAGTTGGCTTAAACCTCAACATTCAGAAAACTAAGATCATAGCATCTGGTCCCATGATTTCATGGCAATAGATAGGGAAACAATGGAAAGTGACAGACTTTTATTTTCTTGGGCTCCAAAATCACTGCAGATGGTGACTGCAGTCATGTAATTAAAAGATGCTTGCTCCTTGGAAGAAAAGCTATCACCAACCTAGACAGCATATTATAAAGCAGAGACATTNGTCAAAGCTATGGTTTTTCCAGTAGTCATGTATGGATGTGAGAGTTGGACTATAAAGAAAGCTGAGCAAAGAAGAATTGATGCTTTTGAACTGTGGTGTTGGAGAAGACTCTTAAGAGCCCCTTGGACTGCAAGGAGCTCAAATCAGTCAATCCTAAAGGAAATTAGTCCTGAATACTCATTGGAAGGACTGATGCTGAAGCTGAAACTCCAATACTTTGGCCACCTGATGCAAAGAGCTGACTCTTTTGAAAAGCCCCTGATGCTGGGAAAGATTGAAGGCGGGAGAAGGGACAGCAGAGGGTGAGATGGTTGAATGGCATCAATGACTCGATGGACATGAGTTTGAGTAAGCTCCGGGAGTTGGTGATGGACAGGGAAGCATGGTGCGGTGCAGTCCACAGGTTCACAAAGAATCAAACTTGACTCGGCAACTGAACTGAACTAAACTGATGGTTTTTTCATTCTTACAGAGGGAGTCCTAATTTAGAAGTCTGGGAAATTCTACTCTGCACCATATACTATAACTCTCCAATGATTAGAAGTTACATAGACAAAAATCAGAAAGCAAATGCTCGATGTGTCCAGAGGGCTTTGGGGCTCAAGTTGCAGAAAGTCCTGCTGACTACAGGAGGTTGAAGGATAGACTGAGAGGGAAAACTAGAGCAAAGAAGGATAGACTGAGAGGGAAAACTAGAGCAAGGATTAAGTTCACAGGTAAACCATGCTAACATGGTATGATAGTCTGTGGACAAAAATTTACAAACCACACAGTGAAAATCGACACCTCTACTCCAGTTACTTGAGATCATCATCCCTGGAGCCTCAGCTGGGACCTGGTCATCTCCAATGAACAGCGATAAGAGTTTCTGGATCCCAAGGCACCAGCTCCTGGGACAGGTGGACTGAGGGGTCAAATCTTGAAGGCGATTCAACCACAACCCTGAGCCTCCAGGGCTTTTCCAGCACATAAGTTGGGAGAGTTGAAGGCTGAGTAGCAGTATAGCTTCTGGCCTCCAGCAGCAAAAGCAGAGCCATAAAAAAAAGCACAAGTCATAAACTCTGGTGGGATGAGGGACCTGGGGGCACTGCCATTTTCTAGCATGCTTGCATCATCACCAAAGTAACAAAAGCTTTGAGTACAGATAAAGCTCATTGATTTAATTTCTTACTGCCTCCCTGGGGTCTCATTTAAGGCCCCTGCAAAAGATAAGCCCTTTGCTCCTAAGAATCTGTTTACCAGTAGAATGAGGCCAAGTGTTAAAACCAAGTATTTGGACACATAAAAACACAAACTTCCTAGAGTGCTTCATTTTCAACTGTAACTGATTCATATGTTAATATAATGTGGTAAAAGCAAGTAAAATAAAATCTGAGGCTTTCACATTAATTGAGGTTATTTAACTTTATTATATTTTAAAATCTGAAAACTGTAAAACAGTATTTATACAAACACCTGAGGACGGTTTAACTGGGCACAGCATCTTCACACGAACAATTTGAGAGAAGACATAGTTTAAATTAGAATTTTGTCTTAAAACACAAAGTGAATAACATAGATGAAACCACCCTTTAAATAGTAGCATTCTCATATAAAGTACATTTGGTTTTCTAAAAAAGAAAATGTACATTCTTGCCCCTGGTGTACATTTTATTGGCATTTATAACAAATGGCTAATACTTTTAGCACAGATTCTCATAGCTTATAAACATTACACCAAAGTTATACAAAGTAATAACAATTAACATATAGCACCATTTCCCCTCAAAAGTTCTAACTTTAAAAACAAAACCCAAAATGATAAGTCAGAATTAATGCATCTTCCAAAATTTAGCAGAATAAATGGCTCAGAACTAAGCAAATTAACTAACAACATTGCATAGGACAGAGAACTTCCCTGTATGGAAACCAATCTGTGGATTGTTTCTTATCCCCTGAAGACTAAGCTGAGAGGTACTAGTGATAGCAAATGATGCAAATACTTTTTCAGAATAAAAACATCCAACTATATAAATAGTTCACCATTACCTCTGTGGCAATGCAAAGTGCCATATTAAATTCAAAAAGAACAGGTTAACTTGTTTGAATACCTACAAGTATAGAATAATATATAAATACAGTATTGAATTCATATGAGGAATAAACATAGACAATAAAATATATATATTTTAAAATTTGGGCACAGGTGTCTTCATGTAAGGGCTTCCCTGATAGCTAAGTTGGTAAAGACTTCGCCTGCAATGCAGCAGACCCCGGTTTGATTCCTGGGCTGGGAAGATCCGCTGGAAAAGGGATAGTCTTCTTCATATAAAGATGTGAGAAAGAATTCCAAGTTAAATGTCTAAGCTTGGAGAAAACATGTAAAGTTTTGAAATAACAAGTATTTCATTTAAAAAATTTAATTGGACTCCAAAACCACCCTTGTACTATAATATCTCCTGCATAGAACAACCACTCTATAATTGTTCAAAATTCATCAAAAACTGATAAAAACACTTTATGAAAGTTTATAAGCTTGTTTTTTCTTTAAATATGAACAAATACAACATATAGAGAAATAGTAACAAAAGGAAGATAATTTATATGGCTATTCCCTTTCAGGAAACTGCTAGAACACGAACAGAACATTGCAGTAACAGATAAAGTATTTGAGAAAGAGATGATATCTATAGCTGCATCTTTAAATTCTCTTCTAAGGAAAACTTCGCATGAATTTCATTAGAGAGCCTGTCAGTCCCTGATACTTTCCCCTTTGGGATTTAGCTGTTTTGGTTTTACATATAAACATTAACCAAAATCAAAGGTGTTTCTTTGTTTCCTGCATGAAGTGTATTTGCAAACTCTACAATAAAATAATAAACAGAGATAAAGAACTGCCAATTTGAATATGCTAATACTAACATGTTAATGGCTTTTAAAGAAGTAGACTGGACTTATAGTTCTGCAATTCTGGATATAATGTAGTTTTAGAGGAACTGTCTACAAAACGAAAATTGCTATGAGAATAAAAATACTTTTAAATTAAAAGTTATCAAAACAACTGAAAATTATGTCTAATCTAAACATATATTTTTTCAATTATATTTTCCTTCTTTAAGTTTTTCAATATAATAACATAACTTTAAGGCTGGCCCCAGTTTCAGCCCCATATACTTCATAATCACATCACTTTTGAGTAGTAGCAGAGCCTTCCCATCAATTTCCTATAGAGAGAAATAAATTATAATTATTAACACTGATTTCACATTTTGTCAAGTTACTTACATATAAGAACATGTAAGTAGAGAATAGCTGTACATTCTCAATATATATTCTCTGAATGTGCATTTATTTCCTGAAAACTATTAAAAACATAACTTATATGTGAAACATCATTTGAAAATTTCTAAATTCACTTCAAATTTTAAGAAAAAGTAAACTTAACCCAGTATCTTTGAAAAATAGCCTTAGCATCAAACTATCTGATTTTAAAAACTATATGTTGAATAAAATACCACATATCAATGACAAAGGGTAGATAGAAAACTATGAATTGTAGAAATAAATTTCAGATGGTTGTTAACTTTCTTAGAAAGGCTGGGAATGTATGCCAGTATTAATGCAAACTGTAAATGTGCTAAACAGTGTTGTCTTTATGTTGAAAGCTATTCACTTAATTATGTGAAGCTAATTAGATGCTAAAACATATTACTGATTTTCTTACAATATGAAAAAGGATACAAAAGGATACATTTGGTCATGAATTTGATTTGTTAGAAAAGACTATAAGCATTATTTAACAGACACAAGGTATCCTCCTAATACTATTTATTTGCTTAATAAAACAATTTATGTTTTGGAAGTATGTTTGATCTTCCTGAGTTTCTATTTAAAATAAAGCTGCACAGTTACTAAATTCATCAGGCATTGTAATAAGGACACCATGTTACAAAGGTGGTCATTCCCTCCTACTCACAATCCCAGGGCCAAGCAGGGAGCAGGTGGGGAGGATCTTTGTAGCTGGTCTTATAGAGAAGACACCTGAGAGTGGCCATGCTGAATCATCTTCTCTTGAGAACTCAAAGACGTGTAATATGTTAGGTACTTGGGTACCCATTTAAAGCACAGATCCAGCCTCTACCCTTTAAGGATCTAACTTTGGGCAAAGTGAACTCTCTTAAATATGGAAAAATCAGTTGATAGGGTTCCCCCACCATCCACACTAATCAGCAACCAACTGAAGGGCCTGCAGAGAGATAATTCAAAGTCATTACAGCAGGAAAACTGGATCAAAAGATACATTACATGTTGCCTGAAGAGTTCAGCAAGGGGGCCTGATTTCTGAGGATCTTTATGTTTCAAAAACTGTATCACTTCATCCACAGACCAGGTTGCAGGGTCCTTAGAGAAGCCTTGCTTCAGGACACTGGGGTCAGGTTCAGCTATATAACTTGGAGCTTCAACTGGGTGGGGGGAAAAAAGACAAATCATACTTGACCTGATCATTATCCTGAAAGAAAAGATGTTAAGCAGGGAATAATTTTATCATTCCTGGAATGTTCTGTGAAGTACCCCAGCATGGACCCAGGATTCCAAAGGTAAAAATTTAGTGAAAGCCTAGATAAAGATGACCTGAGGATAACTACCCAAGAATGTCCCACTTGACCTCCCCCAAACAACAAAAGCAACTTCAGAATGTACCCTAGAGTTTCAAAGATCATAATGCAGACCAAGCAATCCAAGGCCTCTTTGGCCACAGATAAATACAGAAAAAGACCTGTAACTTAGGTTAAATCAAGGTTAATCTAAGCTAACCTATTGCTCTCTTCAAGTATTTTGAAGAATTTCTCTCAATCTTCCTCCTCTTGAGAAAAGACTCAAGACTAGGTTTGAGTCTTTTGCTAGCTAATTGCAATGAAAATCTCCAGAATTTACAGTTTTATAATTGTTTAAATTAATTCACTTTAATCAATAAATTTTCAATAAACCGTATTATCTCTTGAGAATCAAATTAGTTCTTTCACTGAATCTCTCCCATGTATTCAATAAGGATTATTTTTAGCATTAATTTATTCTTTAAACTCCTGTCTCTCAAAGCTTAAATGCTTACTTGAATTTTGAAGAAAACAAGATTATTTTGTACTTAGCTAGGTCAGAAGCAACTTTAACATTATACTGAATACCTCTTTCAAATTTCACTGCATAGTGATAGATATTTTGGTTGAAGGTTTATATATTTAAAAAGAAATCAAAACATGAAATAATTTAAGTGCTCATACCTCAAAAAGTTATAGTTGTGCTATTCACTAAGTTGTCCTCAAAATTTCTTTCTCTCCAGACACATATTCATTTCCTCAACCAGAGTGCCTGACTCTCTAAAGTTAGTATATGATAACAGAAGTGGGTTTGGTGCTTTACTAGGAAGATTTGTTTCTCTAAACAAAGACCATCAATACAAATTTGATCTTTTCATGTGTGTGAATTACCCAAAAGCGAACCTTTTCTTTCCTGTCATCTGTGCTCTAGTCATTTCAGGGGTATTTTGGGTATTCACCCAAGGAAAGGGCAAAGAAAACAGAAGATGTAAGAACTTGCAATGGTAAATTTTTGGTGTACTCAGAATTTTATATATTTTCTTTTTAAATATCGTAACTTTGATGTGAAATAAAAATTCTTCATTAAAATCTTCCTACTTTCTCCTTGAGAAGGAAATAGCAACCCATTCCAGTACCCTTGCCTGGAAAATCCCATGGACAGAGGAGCCTGGTAGAAAGACTACAGCCCATGGGGGTCACAAAGAGTCGAACACGACTGAGTGACTTCACTTCACTCACATCCTACTTTCTACTTGTCAGAAATAAAAATGGTCTACCAAGAAACGCTGCTAGGTTGCATCAACTCAAGTAAAAGTGATGATGATACAGACCATGTCATGCCTAAGGCATTCTAACAATTCAGACAGAAAAGTCTTCTCCTTTAACTCAAGAGACTCAATTTAATATTTAAAAAATTACTGGCAAGGCTATTCATACCTCTAAATTAACATATTTTGTGGGATTTTTGGTTTCTGTCATCAGAATCTGGTATGGTTATGTCTTGAATAACATGTAACTTGTTTTACAGATTACTACAAATAAATTATATGTAAAAACAGGATTTCTGGGATAAAATTATAATTTTGTATTAAAAATAAAACAGCTGTGAGCCCACCTATCTCTAACCTACCATGGAAAAATACTTTAATTGGGCCCATATCTTCAAGAAAATCAGAGAAGGTTATAAATATTACATTAGTAGCATTATTCACATAGTTATATGAAAAATAATTAAAGTCCAGTCACACTCTTCTCCTTAATGGCTCTATCATATATACACTAGGAGATAAGTAAATATTTCTGGTATAAATGAAATAAAAGTGAGTTTATTTTATCCCAGATGATACTGAATTTCTTTCCTGTAATAAAAATCAACAATTTGTTTCATTCAAATATCGGGGTGGGGCAAGGCAGGAGGCATCATCAGAAATCAAGGCAGACTCAGCTTTAAGTAACAGTTCCAACACCTTAAGGAAAATAAAGTGAAATGCTTACCTATTCTCTGAAGATGTATAGCCCTGGAGTCAGAGTGCCTGGACTGGCCAGCCACTTTCTAGTTGGGAGACCTTAGTTAAGTGACTTCTCAGATTTCTCATCTGAAAATGTTTACCAGCATCTACATCTCAAGAAACTGCTGTAAAGATGTAATGCATGAAGCAATGTAAAATATTATGTGCTGGCACATAATATCAAATGGTAATGAAGATGATGATGACTTTATTACTATTAAGTCTTTCCACACCTAGGAAGACTAGAAGCTAGCATTCTCAAACCCCAAAACAGGCTACTTTGGCATGGTAGTGTTAGACATACATTTGGAAATGAGATTCAGCATTAGGAGTAACCTTTAGAGCCTTCTTCTAAGAAGGCCTATCTTCACAAGCTCATATAGTGAAAATATCTAAAAACTTACGATACACTACCCCTTTATAAAATGAACACCTATCTTTTGATTCTTTACAAAAATCACTCCAAAACCAGAGACAATCTATATGGGGTATATGAGATGGGAGTGACAACATTAAATGTGTCACAGCATGTGTACAGATGATATCCATGATAAAAGGCAAGGGATTGAGTTGATTCCTTCCTTTATTCCTCAACCTTGCCTAAATGCCTATCTGGTGAAAAAAGACAAAACACTTATTCCCTCCACCCCAACATCCTTAATCTTTAAAAGGGTACAGGATAGAGCTATCTTTGCACATGGAAGGCTGTTCTGGCTCTTTCTAAATGAGTGGTAGAATGCTGTACGGTTTATACACATCATGCTCTCCTGGTGGGTGTGAGGGAACAACTGAGCGTGGAAAACAGGGAAATGGCTACAGCAACAGGATGCCAGAGCCAAGATCTGGGAGCCACGTACAGGCTGGGGCCAGGAAAGATCTCAAGAGGGACAAGGAAGGGAGCATATCAGAATGAAGAAGAAGTGCATCCTTCTAGGCCCTCAGAGTCATGCAAGGTTTGTGAGTCCAGACAGTATCCAAGGAAATGAGAAACTACAATGGAATGAAAACCAATAAAATGAGAAGTCTCTATCAGAAACATGACTGGTGATCCAGATTCTCAGAAACGGTTCTGTAATGCCATGAGGGTTAGAGCATCTGCAGCAGCTTGGCCCTGACAATGATGTGAAGGGGAGGACTCTTATCTCCTCAATTTTGACAATTTCTCCAATGTGATAAACTCTCAGGGGATGATGTGGGGCATGGGAACCTTAAAGGGAAAGACAAACCCATCGGATGAGAATCACTGTTTTGGAAAATACCTTCACTTTCCCTCTGCATTTCAAATTCAACTTCAAGCTGACTACTCTTGATAGATGATTTGGTCTCCACCACTTTGGGGCTTGAGGTGCATGGCATACTTTGAGAATCATTCATGGAGACTGGAGTATGAATGCTTATAGGATTTTTTCTGGCAGGACTCAAAGAATTTGCTGAACTAGGTGATGATTTCTTGGACTCTTCAGAAAGCTTTTCCTCTTTGGCCATGCCATCTTCCTCAGAAGGTAATACTTCCTCTACAAGAAAAAAAATATGAAGGCAATAAGAAAAAAGACAAAGGCAATTATCTTCAACAGACTTACAGTTTGAATACTACTAAAATGTCAAAAATCCCCTAAATTGGCAACAATAGTTCACTTAAGCCATGCTATAATGAACTACAAGCCTCTAACACAAAGCACATGGCCATCCCCTTCATGATGTTTCTAGTAATGGACACTGTCCTGAAATCCAAATTGATTCTAATGACATCATCTATTTTTCTCATAACTAACCCTTGACAGTTTTGCCACCAAGACTATGAACACTTCACTAAAACATTTATTTTTACGAATACAGTTCTTCACAACTATTTGTTATAATACACAATTGGTTTCTAATATTTGCTTACTACTTGGGCACTTAAAAAAAAACTTCACTGGAGAAATGTTTTAGGTTTTTCTATTCCTCTTTCTATAAAGCTTTTAGCAATACAAAGCTGAATGGGAAATGCTTCCATAATTGTTTTTCTTTAATCTAAGGAGAAATGACAACTGTGCATTTCTTAAGGAAATGAAGTTCTCAACAAAGCTGCCAAAGTAATAGCTAACTGCCAAACAGATTTGAGGAAATATACCCCCCTATTCCCAACACCAACACTCAACAGCATACATCAGTGATAGCAGAGTGACTTTTCTTCCCAATCTTGCAACATGTGACTACTGTTTACCTTTAGAGGCAGGCACTATTATTTTGGGTTGCTTAGGAGAGAGAGGAGCAACATAAGGCAGAGGTTGCTCAGATGGTCGTTTGGTGATTTTCTTTTCTGTTATATCTTCTACTGTTTTCAAAAAAAGATCTGTTGTAACTAATTAATATACTTAAGCATTTTCATATAAACAGCATAAAACACTTCTTTGTATATCATTTGCCTACTATAACTTCATCAATAATCAATCATTTGTTTATGAACAAGATGTGCTCATTTCATCCTATTAAATAGTTCAGTGATATACAAGGGTTAAAACCATTATATCTATGCTTCACTTATTCTAGGGTCATATTTTTCTAACTCTCTCAGGCAGCAGTGAGGCAACTAAAAAGGCCCGAGAAAACTGCTCCCATGAACAACAAAGGTGAACAATTCAGAGAAGTTAAAGTAGATAGAGTACAAAGAACACTCCATTTTATAAGTAACAATTCTGGCCTAGGGCTACTCTTACAACAATTCTACTGCTTACTTAACATTCAACCAAATGCATTTCTTCTTAAAAGACCATTCTTTAAGGCATAATCTTGAAATGAATCAGTATTTTGATTTAATCTCCAACTAAAAGGAAAAAATAAAGTACAATAAAAATCTATAAAGTAGGATAATAGATCTTCAGAAAGGAGAGAGACTGCAATGACAAAGTACCAAAGTCAAACTTCATCTAGTTAAAAATGGCTAAGGGTCAGACATGAGCCTTAAAATCATCTGATAAGTAATTTTTAACCATCCAGTTACTGACTGATTACGAATGAGTCTAAGAGCACTCTCGACATTTGATTTTATTTTTAATCATCAACTACAAAATCAACAGGCAAACCATATTTCAGTGAATAAGACGTATTTCTACAATTAGGACTGTTAAATTCTAAGAAAAGAAATAACTGACTTTTTTCATACCAATTTACTGATACAGAAAATTTGAACACTAAACTATACAGTTTCTACAGTTTTCTATAGATATTTACTTCAGAATTATAGCAAGATCAGAAAAAGTCTTTACTTACCTTTTACTTACAACATTATAATACTTTATGAAAAGTTTATGAAGCTAGTATATGGTCTACTATCTGGGATTGATACAAACATAAAATTGATTCCTGACTTCTGTTTCTGGGCACTGTAGTGAGCTAAGGCATGAAACTGTTCCTGCAGAATAACTAGAAAAAGCCAGATAATTTACAAAGTACTTTAAAAGTCATCATAGAGAGGCACTTCCAAGATGACTGATTAAGGACTTTCCACTTCTTCATAAAACTAATGACAGCACTGGCAAAATCAACTTCTTCAAAATTCTGGATGTTAACAAAAGGTTTGAGTGAGTGAAAGTCACTCAGTCATGTCTGACTTTTGTGACTCCATGGACTGTAGCCTGCCAGGTTCCTCCTGTCCATGGAATTCTCCAGGCCAGAATACTGGAATGGGTAGCCATTCCCTTCTCCAGGGGATCTTCCCAATCCAGGGATCAAACCCAGGTCTCCTGCACTACAGGCCATTCTTTACCGTCTGAGCCACCAGGGAAGCCTAAGAATAGTGGAATGGGTAGCCTATCCCTTCTCCAGGGGATACAACAACCAAAAAGAGGTTTATTCAAGAAAAATGGCTGAATCTCAAAACAACAAATTCTGTGACATTTTAGCTTCCCCCCACTGGAAGGGGCACAATGCATTTGGAATTCTGCAAAAGCTCCACCTCCAGAGAACTGTCACTGAAAACCTCTCATCTCTGGGTTTGTTTTATTTGACCTAAATCAGAGGCTGCTCTGTGTGAACAGTCCTATCTCCAAAGCACTGGTCAAAAATTAAACCAAATCAAAACCAAAAAAACCACAACAGTGGCAAATGTTTAGCAGTGAAGCTCCCTGAGGCAGGATTATCAGTTGGGGCTGACAAAAAGCTTGACCAAATAACCTGGAGAATGAGATGTCCATTAGGGCACTCAGAAAAGCACTGAGATATTCCTACAAATCTATAAGGCTGTATGTATGTGCATGGCTCTATGAATGCTTAGGGAAGACTTTAGAAGGCCTTAATCTTTCATTTTGTGACAACTCTGAAGCTCTGCACAGGAGTGTTGAAGGTAAGTTTCAACACACACACACACATAAAAAAAAAACCTTGACAAAGTCTGGAAGATACACTGGTTCTAGGCACTTAGGAAAATCCCTGTCCAATCATTAGCTGACCACTAAGCTAACTGAACAGATGTCAGTAGCCACATATAACAAAATTAGCCCACAAAAAAGTCATTAAATCAGTCCAGCAAAGTCTCTAAAAAAAAAAACAACAAACATCACCAGCAACAACAGACCCTAGGAAGGAGTGGGGAACCTGATTTTCAGAGTTGCTGCATTATATTACATTTAAATTTCAACTAAAAATTAGGAGACATGCAAAGAAATGAAAAGTATAACCCATATATGGTGGAAGGGGGGAGAGTCAACAGAACCTGCCTCTGAGCAAGTCCAAACATTGGACTTACTAAGCAAAGATATAAAATCAGTTATTTATATATGGACAAAGAACTTTTAAAATATCATGTCTAAAGAATTAAAAGAAAGTGTAAGAACAATGTCTCACACTGTTGATAAAGTGATAAAAAATTATTAAAAAAAGAACCAAATAGAACTTCAGGACTTGAAAAGGGTAATAAATGAAATAAAAAATAATACACTAGGGGGTTCAACAGCAGATTTCAATTATCAGAAGAAAGAATCACCAAATTTTGAAAAAGGTCAATTGAAATTAGTCTGATGAACAGGAAAAAGAAAAGACCATCACAGCACTATAAAGCAATTATCCTCCAGTAAAAAGAAATTTTTTTAAACATCAATGTAAAACAGGAAATGAGGGTGGTCTTGTCCAATCTATCTGACTCCAAGATTTGAGGAGTTATGCAGTACACAATAGCTGTGTAAATCCCATTACTAAGTAACTGTTGTTATTTAAGAATTAAATAAAATTTTTCTTCAAAAAAGAAGAGAAAATGAATAGACCTCAGAGACCTGTGGGATATCAAAGATCAAGCAGTACCAAAATGCATATAATGAGAGAGTCCTGGAAGGAGAGGACAGAGAATAAGGAACAGAAAGACTATTTGAAGAAATAATGTCTAAAAGCTTCCCAAATTTAATGAAAACTATTAATCTGCATAATCCAAAAAATACAAAAATCTCCAATTATGACAAACTCAAACATATCCACACCTATGAAAAAACACACTCAACCATCAAAAGCAAAAGATGAAAGATGATATTGAAATCAAGAACACAAAAACAAAACAAAACAAAAAGAACAGAAAAGCAGATCATCACATACAAAGGATCCTAAACAAGACTAACAACTGACTTCTCATCAGAAACTACAGAGGCTATACTGCTAAATTGCTTCAATCTTGTGCGACCCCATAGACAGCAGCCCACCAGGCTCTCCCATCCCTGGGATTCTCCAGGCAAGAACACTAGAGTGGGTTGCCATTTCCTTCTCCAATGCAGGAAAATGGAAAGTGAAAGTGAAGTCGCTCAGTTGCATCTGACTCTTAGTAACCCCATGGACTGCAGCCTACCAGGCTCCTTCGTCCATGGGATTTTCCAGGCAAGAGTACTGGAGTGGGGTGCATTGCCTTCTCCAATATTCAAAGCACTGAAACATAAACATGGTCAATGAAGAATTATATATCTAGAAAAACTAACCTTTGAAAAATGAAGGAGAAAATAGGAAATTCTCCATAAAGAAAATTTGAGAAAAACTCTCATTTGTCTCATTTGTAGAGAGCTACCCTATAAGAAACACTAGAGACTCCTTCAAGATGAAATGAAAATAGACAATAACTTAAATCTACATTAGAAAAAAAGAATACCAGTTTAAAATGTACAAAATTGTATGACAATAATAGCACAAAGGAGGAGGCAAGAAATAAAGCTATGCTTGATCAAAGTTTTTGCATAATATTAAAATTAAGTTGGTATTAATCCAAACTAGACTGTTTTAAATTGAGATGTTAATTTTAATCCCCAAGGCAATTAAGAAAATAACTCAAAATATAGAGGGGCGGTCCCAAGATGGCAGAGGAATAGGACAGGGAGACCACTTTTCCCCCCACAAATTCATCTAAAGATCATCTGAATGCTGAGCAACATCCACAAAACAACTTTTGGATGCTGGCAGAGGACACCAGGCACCCAGAAAGGCAGCCCATTCTCCTCGAAAGAAGGTAGGACAAAATATAAAAGACATAAAGAGAAACAAAACAGTTAGGGACCAAGACCTTTCCTGGGGAGGGAGTCATGAAGAAGTTTCCAAACACCAGGAAACCCTCTCACCAGCAGGTCGGTGGGCAGTTTTGGAATCTCAGAGGGCAACAAAACTGGGAGAAAAAAAAACCCCACATAATACATGCCTAACTGCCATTCCCAGTGGAAAAGTAGCCCAGACGCTCATGTCCAGCCACCAAAGAGGGGCTGGACAGGGAGGCGCGGGCTGCATGTTTAAGGTAAGGACTGGGCCTGAATGCCCTGAGGACAATCTGAGGGAGCCAATGTGAGATAGCAACCCAACTGTGGGATAACCAGAGAGAAAAAGAAAAGAACTTTCCCATGAAAGATTCTAACCTAACACGCAGCTTGGCCCACTCACAGAACAAAGGATTGAGTGATTACCAAAGGAGAGCTAGCTGCTGCATACAGGCCCCTCCCTGACTGGAGGCAGAGAGGCAGGTGTGCGATACCAAGAGCCAGAAGGCAAGGGGCAATCTCAGCCCCAGAGACTGGCATCCTCTGCCAAACTGTGAGCAGGCTCCCAGTTGCTAACCACATATTCCTGGGATCCTAGACAATTGACATCTGCCAGGAGGGTTTCAGCCTGAGATCAGCTCCCCAGATGAGACACACGGCACAACAGAGACAGTGCTCTCACAGTGCACTGGGAAAACCAAGCAGCCAGGACCTGGGAGGTGATTAAGACGCACAGCCCAACTGGGACAGTGCGCTTGCCAAGTACCTGGTCGCCTAAGCTGCTCGGACCTGGGAAGGGCACAAACACATACCTAACTGAGCTATGCCCTTGTGGAGAACA